GACAATTAGCATAAATATTTAATTACTGAGTTGAGTATTTGGAAATGAAAAAGCTCACAAAAATTCAAAATGCCTTTCCTCCCCATTTTTCAGGCTTAACTTCACTCCCAGGGTCACTTCACTCCAGACTCTTCTCCTCCTCCCATGTTGTAGCTGGGGGTCATGCTCAGTCCCTCCAGTGCAGCAGCGAGTGGCACAGGGGCTGGGGTTAGGACATAGTAGTGTCCTTTTCCTCTGGTCCTTCACTCTTCCTCCTGCGCTACTATGGAGCAGCTCCCACTCCCCTGACCTTGTTATTGCCTCATTCTTTCCTCTATTCCTTCATCCTCTGCCTGTCCAGCATTTCTGCCCTCTCTTAGATACGCTTTCCTGGAGGTGCCACCATCTCACCTGAGTGGCTCAGCAGTGCTCTGTGGTGGGTGGAACCAGCAGTGTTCAGAGAATGGAGAAGAACAAAAGATTGTTATACTGTTCTTAGACGTTATCTCCAAGTCAGTGATATTTAAAATACATTTAGTTTCAGTCTCACTGTGAATGTGAAGGATGAAATGCATAGTGATTGGTATAGGCAGCAAGGAGGTTGATGTGACCATACCACTGATCACCAGGAGCTCTGTGAGCCTGATGCTGTGCCAGTCTTTCCATAGAGCCTGTTGAGAAGGGCAGCACACCTTACTGAGGTACGTGCCGGGCTCTGGACCAGGACTGGCTTGCATTTGGCTGGGCTGAAAGACAAGCAGTGTGAGCCTATGACTATCTGCACCATCTACACTAGCTCAGCAAACATTTTGACTAAGGACGTCTAACATTTTTGAACCAATATATGTGATATTCTGGTCTATGGTTTGAGTACAGTGGCTGTGTTTCCTGTTGTTAAAACATTTTGATCTGGAGAAGGTGATTTAGAAGACAAGCTGTTTAATTAGTGCATGAGCAGAGACAATCTGTTCCAAGAATAATTGGCAGCATGGGAAAGGGCATAAAGTTAAGAGTAGGTGAAAGGAACAAAAGAAATATTAAAGAAATGTGTTTTCTTTGAAATGTGTTTTCTCTGCTCCAAAATGCAGAGCCTTGTGGAGAGAGGAGGACAGCATGCTCCATGCAGCCACATTGTACTATCTCTAAAAATATGCCATTGGTCATCTAGCCAAAAGGGTAACCAACTTGCCTAGAGTCTTGGGGATATTTGTCAGGAATTCAGAAAAGAAAATGTTTGGAAGATGGAGAAACCATCTGAGCTCACTGTGAAGCAGCAAATGTTCTGATGCTATTTTTGGTTAAGTAGTACTGTATACTGGGGGAGTTTCTGTGAAATGAGAGGTGACACTACAGAATCTTGGAATAAGTATGTTTGAAATATGCTGTTCATGGAAATATATATGTTCCAGATATTTAGCATTTAGTCTAGTCTAATAAATAACTGTAGCATCTTTTGATTCCATACTTAATGTCTCCTTTTCCCTTTTCAGAGGAATGTGTATCATCCTTGTGGTCTCATTTTGTGAACTTAAAAGTGTCATTTGGTCCTTCTATTCTATGGTCAATCATCAGGTCTGAAAAATTGTACCTTAGTTTGTTCACCTGAAAAGAGCAGGAGACATAAAATAATCCAGTACATTAGCTTTGATCTATTGGACCAGAGAGAGAGAAAAGAAGGAAAGAAAGAAAGAAAGAAAGAAAGAAAGAAAGAAAGAAAAAAGAGATTTATTTTAACTTCTGAAATTATTGGATAAGACCAAACCCACTATGCAATAGAAAATAAGGAGAAAGTGGGGTCACACTTATTAATGGGAAAGATGCATAAGAACTAAATTCCACTGATAAAGGTGTTTTCATGAGGATGCCTGTCCTCACCCCTCTTGGCACTAGAGCAGGTTGACAGTAGGTTGTTTGAATTAACTTGAGCAATATGATATCAGTGATGTTGCCACTTTAGCACTTAGTCACCTTAAGAGTAAAATCAGCACCTTCATTGAAAAATGGAAGTGACCTCTGATAGGTGGTTATATCACAGAAAACTCTTAGTTTTAGTTCTTGATTCCTTCTTTAATGTTTTCCAGATTAGCTGTAGATGAATTTAAATTGCTGTAATTAGCAGGCACTAATTTATTTATATTTGATGAATGCCTTATAAATAATCTGCTTCATCAATGTGGAGAGAACTTATTGGTAAACAAACTTAAAAAAAAAAGTAGAAGACATTTCTTTTAAAAATGTCTTCATTTTACTTAAGCAGCTGTAAGATTAACTACTTTTCCTGGAGAAAAGTACTGTTTCTTTTTGACACATATAGAAAATTCTGTATTTATGCCACAAAATGGGTTCAGAGGATGTGTTAGCATGGCAGAAGTTGCTTAGCTATTTGTCAGTGTTTGGGTCCAGACTGAAAATACTATTTAAAAGAGAGATTTGTATGAATCTATTCAGACTTCTCAGCCTTTAGTGTTCTATATAGTGATTTATTTATTTATTTATTTAAATAATGACTTCCTGTAACACTGCAATGGCTTACATTTTTGTAATGTGTCATTATTACAATGTACATATTCTGTGGGTAATTACATTTATGCCTTAGCATTTTTTTAATCTGTAGCAGTTAGACACTACTGTGGATGTCCTCTGAATGCATGTCTAACTGTAGAAAAAACCCTCTTTTCACTTGCGTCCTGCATTTCATGTGTTATTGTCCATTAAGTAATTCTTCTTCTGAGTCCCGCTTCTTTGCTCTTTTCAGTAGCTCTAAAAATGCTGTGCCTGATTCACCATTACTTTCTAACTTCAATTTTACCAGTGAAAGAATAATAAAAAAAAAGACCCTCAGCTGCTCTGCTTTTGTGTGAGTGATAGAGGTGCACAATAACCGTGAGTCAGGCCTTTTTACAGATCCTCTCATTAACATCATTACCATTTTTACTTAAAAAACCCAACAACCTTTGACTGAATTTATCACTCATGAACAAGGGGATGTCCTGAACATTTGGTATGGATTTGCAGACCATTCTTTCTGTTTCTGTTTCTCTCATGAGGCAAGACAATCCTGACACACACTGAAATGCATTTTATTGTTACTGTATGGAGGATGGAGGAAGGCTTATAATGCGTAACTTTGTTCTCCTAGTAGTGCTAGGCAGCTACAAAATATTTTTGTCCAAGGATGCCCAAGTGACACTTGCCTCCTAACTTCCACTGTAGCAAAGTGTCTGACAATTCATTTTTATATATCAGGAGACTGAAGCATTTAGGAGAAGTAGACAAGTCACCTTGGCCAAAGTAATAAATAAACAACAATTTGGTTAAATTGTCATCCACAATGACAAAAAGCAAGGGTGCCAGTCTGTGATACCATGTAACATTTGTGTGATCAGTTGTTTTCCCTTCACCCCACACAGAGTAAGTCTAAAATCCTGCCATTGTGAATGTGTGTCCATACCTCTTAAAGAAGCTAAATCATCTGTTAGTATTTTAGGAAATTGCTCAGAATGACTCTTCATAAAAAGAGGAAATTAGAAGTTAAGTCAAGTTTTATATTCTTGTGTTGTTTTTCCCCTTGGTACTTCAATGGCTGTTTTTTCCATGCCTTGTATTTGATTATTCTTATTTATGGCATTATATTACAAATCCTGTTTAGCTATTTGTGTTCATCCAGACACAGAAAACAATACATAGACACAAAAAATAAAAAAAATTAAGTGCAAGGATCATCTTAAACAGTTTCAGAACTAAAAGTATCTATGAAACATGGCATATTTATGCTGCTACCTGGTTTTAAATGCATCCCAGATCAGAGAAGTGCCTAATGATGGTCTGACATTGCACCTCTAACAGAAATGCTCATCTTTTAGTGGAAGCACAGTCCATGCTGGTTAGATATCAACCAGTTCAGGCAATATCCCTTCTGTATATTGAAAAGATAACTTCTGAGATCTTATTTCCTGTCTAGGCAATGCCCTAATCTGAAATGAGATCTCTTTTCTGGGTTAAGGGAGGTGCTTGATTTGGAAAACTAATTTGGATATATGTGACTTGCAGTGAACTCCACATTGCTTTTCCAGGATAAATAGAGAATTTACGCTGCCACTGTAATTAATCCACACTAAGATTTCTAGTAATTTCCAGGTTTTTCATGAAACTTTATTGAATGTTGAGTTTATTTATAGCAGAGAAAATCTGAAATAAATCTGCCAGAATCAATTCTATTAATCCATGCTTTTATCAATATTAATGGCAACAAAATCTAAGTTTATATTAAATACATTGGGAGTTTATATGATTTAGAAGTGTAAAATATTGCAATTACACTGCTTAAATTTTTATTTATTAGCCAGTAACACCCATACTCTTTGTTCAAGAGCTTACCAATGTGGATTTACATAGGTAATTTTATCTCAGGCTGTTTGGTATTTTACATAAATCCTTCATTTCTGGAGTAAACCAATAATACAGCTTTCTATTTTTGAAAAGGAGATTTAACCTTCATATTTGTGAATGAAAGCTGGAAATCCCGAGTCTAGAAAACCCAAAGCACGAATTATTTCTGCATAAAATCTCAGCCTTTTAGAGGGGGAAAAAAGGGTTTATTTTCATTTTAATCTTGGTCTTGCTTGTTGAATTATTGGTGCTGGTGAACCCATGGGGGTGTACACATACATGTATGGAGGTGGGAATGTGCACTTTTTCTTAAACACTGAACCTGAACTGGAGTGTATTTGAACCTTTCTGAAGCTCAGAAATGTTTTTCCAGGTGGTGTTTCTGGTAGGTTAGTCACTGACTAGTGCATGGAAAATGAGAATCATGATATTCTGGGTCCAGACATAGACGTTCAGTATTACCTGGGCAGGATTCTGACTAACAGGGAGAGCGGGTTGTATTCCACCTAACAAGCTCACAAAAGACAGAAAAAGACCTACCAGGTGACACCAGCATGATCAGTCTGCCATTCACAAGGTATAGAGACCAAAAATCCACTCAAAATTCTTGTTCTGTTATTTCCTTTTTCTAGAAAAAGCAAGTGAGTCAAACAAAGATCCGGGTGATCTCTACTATCCTCTTCATCCTGGCAGGCTGCATTGTCTTTGTGACAATTCCAGCAGTCATCTTCAAACACATCGAGGGATGGACAGCGCTGGAGTCCATCTACTTTGTGGTTGTTACTCTGACTACCATTGGCTTTGGTGACTTTGTAGCAGGTGAGCAGCTTCAAGCCCAGATGCTGTGCAGGAGGGCCTTGGCTCTTAGAATTTGTTTTCTGGTGTATCTGGTGTAGAGAGGAGGCTTTTCACAGTGTGTTATATTCCAGTGAAATGATGCCAGTTGTTTTTGTTTGGGTTACTGTGCAGTAGTAGGACACCAGGTTGATTTAAGATCCAGGTGCCTTGCCATCTGCAGATTACAAGCCTTCAGCAGTGTAGATAACAGGAGCCTGGGAAATCCTGTTTATCCTTTATTGTGCAATGAATTATGCACAAGTCAAATTACTTTCCCATTGAGTTCAAGATTTGTATTAGTCCATTAGGGCTCAATCTGAGGCTGACTACAGAAGCAAGTAGCTCAAGTGATGAATGGAGGAAGGTTTTACAAAGTAGGGCTGAGCCACAGGTCTCAGTGGTGTGCCGCTACTACAGGAGCTGCAGCATTTCAAAACCTGCATTTTGTTCTCTAACCTTGGCAAAAACTGTTAAGGAAAGCTTATGTGGAAGAGAAAGACTAATGGGGTATGCATTTTAGTGCTTGGAGGATACTCTCCAAGATTAATACAGTACCAACAGGAACTATAAATATCCACCCTTATCAATTTCCAAAGAGGGAGTCAAGATAGTCGGCTAGAGAGATGAGAGATATTTTCTTTTCACACAACTGCTTTGCTAACAAAAAGGTAGTTAAAATAAGTGGATTTTTTTCCCATCAGTGCATGACCTCTACTCCTCATTCCTGTTAGCAGTCCTAATTAAAGGCATTAAGATACTTATGTTACAAACAGTCATAATATGCTACTGTTTTCTTACTTTCTATGAATCAGCAAAGCATGAATGAGTTAAAAACATCAAATAAAAGTACAGGGATATATAAAGTTTTCTTTGCTGAAGAACTGCAGACAAGTCTGTTTGTACAGAAGACTAATCCTCCTCTTTTTATGACATAGTGGTATAGAAGACATGAATTATTGAGGAAAAGAAAAGGCACAGAACAAAGAAAGACTCAGATGTGAAGAAAAAATGTTTAATGAGCATTCAGTTACAGAAGTGATTGTATGAGCTTGGTTCATTTTAACCACTTAAATGTGTAGAGAAGCTCACTGAAATTCTGTCTTTGTGGTATCATGCTGTGAAATAAAAATAATTCACCATATTTTTCTTAATCATATCACACTTCAGTATTGTTTTCTTTAATAATATAATGTAAAAAAGTTCTGAATGTTTAATTGTTCTATATGGAACATGATTAGGAGAATATAATCCACAGCTGGGTGGCTACTAACAAGCACAATTTTTCAAATGGAAGACCCTGAATAAGAAAACTTCAGAGGCGATTTCATGATAAGAGTTTAAGGCGGGTGATCACCAGGAGATTTGGGTTTTATTGTTGGCTTTGAGAGAGATTTTCTGTCCCTTTTATTTTCTGTCACTTTAATCTCTCAGTATCTCTGTCCCTTCAACATAAAATCAAAAATACTACATTGTAATGGGTAAAATAACATCAATGGAGCTATGCTGGTTTATTCCACCTAGAACATTTCCCAGCTCTTGGCGAAATAGTAAGTTTTTGTACTACTATCAGAAATATAACTGTAGATGAAGCCTGAAAAAGCCAGAATATCTGATAGGCTGAAAAAAGTGGTCTCATGCTTTCTCGGTCACCTCATTACTCTGTAAGATAGACCTAGACAATCTGTTTCCTAGTAAGCTTCCTCAGGGACACGTATGAGCAGAAGAGGTTTGTACCATGGCAACAGCAGTTACCGCCTCCCATTGTTTCACACTCTTAAAGACTGGAAGAAAAGAGTGTGATTCATGCAGTATATGGGGAGAGATTAACATCAAAACCAATATTTGGGTCCCTGCCAATTCTCAAATGTCTGACCTTCCATGGGGATGTTCAAACACCATACCTACACTTATATTGAGTTTTGATAAAATTAAAGAGTCATAGCAATGTCTCAGATTGCAAAAAGGAAAGGGTAAAATGCCGACTGTGTTGTATGGTGATTTTAACAGGGGAAAATCCTAGAATCTCTCTCTGCAGTCATACAGAGGTATCAGTAGGTAGCTCTTGTCTAACCAGGCCTGGAGTCCAGCAAATATGCAGTCCTCTGCCTGAGTCTCCTGGTAGGCTGGCTGTGCAGGCAGAGATTTACACAAATACCACCAAGGTGGTGTTTGTTCACCTGCACTGAGGAATACAGTGGTGCCCATGGGGCTGTGCAGACTCTTTGCTGCTGACTCTCTTCCGCTCAGGGCTGTGCCTGCTATCACTGGCTCTCATTCTTGCAGTGCACATAGAACTGTGATAGGACTGAGAGTCTCAAAGTGGGGCTGTGGTTGTTGTCTTTTGGAAAAGGTTATTTTATTCTGTGGTAGGCAGCAGTCTGGCTGCTACTGCAGTTATTTTAGGCTCTTTGTAGTCCATTAGATTTGCCTAATGTCTCATTCTTGTTTTGCCAGCTCATCCTGAGACTTGCATGAAGAACATACAGGATCTTTGTTGCTTGCTTTGATCTATATGTCCTCTCAATTCACTGGCCAGAGAATGCACCCCTCTAAATGATACCCAAGCAGACTGTATACTGTATATCCTTATTATCAGGGCTGATGCATGGTTGGCTTTCAGTCAGATATCCTGATTTGGAAGGGTAGACAAAAGGGAAGACAAAGCTACATATCTTTCTTCTGCACATAGGTCTCTCAATCCTGTAGCTAAAACCAAAAAGTCTGGAAATCCTATAACCTAAAGAGGTTGATCTGTAAAGTTTCTGAACTACCAGGCTGCAGGCACTTCAGTATAAGGAAGATTAGCCGTGTATAACCTTTTTCTTGGATGTATGCTTGTGCTGTTGCAAGTACTATCAAAGCGGGAATTTCAGACTTGCTTCAGAGTACGAGTAGTATAAAGAAAAGTGTTTACTAGATGCTCTGACAGGTCACATAGAAGCAGAAAAATAGATAATTTTGAAGAGTTTTAAATTAAGAACAGACTGTGTTCCTCCCATCTGACAGGCTTCTTGTCTGTTTTCAGAACTACAGTGATGTTGTCAAGAATTAAATACTTTCAGGCATTTCTCAGAATTACAGGTATTTTGTCATAATTTTGACATCTTATGATTCCTAAGAATAAGTATATGCTTATTTCAGGAGGAAATGCTGACATACATTACCGAGAGTGGTATAAACCCTTAGTGTGGTTCTGGATTCTTGTCGGCCTTGCCTACTTTGCTGCTGTCCTGAGTATGATTGGAGACTGGTTAAGAGTCCTGTCCAAGAAGACACAAGAAGAGGTAATGATTAGTAATTTCTCAGAATGTGTTTTGAAAACTCCTCCAGATGACTTGAGTGGTATTTGGACAGTTGTGCCATGGAAACCTCCATTAAAGACAGCTACATTTGCCCCTGAGAACTCTAGACTGGCTCAGTCAAAGGGCCAGTTGAAATTATCTGATGGGCATTTCCAACATTAACTGCTCTGTGACTCTGTGGCCCTGAACAGGACCTTTAGTGGGACTGAACAGCTCCATCCATAATCAATATGGGAAGATACATTACTGTACTGCTGCATTGGTTGTTGTGCTGCTCTGAAGCATATTGGTTTAATTATATGTGATTAATTTTGCCCACTCCTGACCATCTACTGCTGACCTTACGAATCAGGAATTTTGTTCTTTAACAAGGAGGGATTAGCATGAACAACTCTCATCATGTAACACAGCTATAAAATGTGTGGGGTGGCAAAATGTGACACAGGCAGACAAGTTATATGCCCCATAAGCCATCAGCTAGTCACTAATTGGTGTGTTTAGAGATGGATGGAGTGGAGATGGTGTGTTTAGAGATGGATGCAGTGGAGATGGGACCACTCTCTGATTTTGTACCAGAGAAGAAAGTGTTTATGCTGCTGTTCTAAAGGAAAGACTGTAGCTTCATTTTGCTTTTTCTTTTTTTTTTTTTTTAATTTTAAAAATTAATTTCTCTTTCTTCTTCTGTAAAGGTTGGAGAAATAAAAGCCCACGCAGCGGAGTGGAAAGCAAATGTGACGGCTGAGTTCAGAGAGACACGGAGGAGGCTCAGTGTGGAGATCCATGACAAACTTCAACGGGCAGCCACCATCCGGAGCATGGAGCGCAGACGCCTGGGCCTGGACCAGCGAGCCCACTCCTTAGACATGCTCTCTCCAGAGAAGCGCTCTGTCTTTGCTACCTTGGAAACAGGGCGCTTCAAGGCCTCCTCTCAGGAAAGCATCAACAACAGGCCTAACAACCTGCGCCTTAAAGGGCCAGATCAGCTTAACAAGCACGGGCAGGGGGCATCCGAGGACAACATCATTAACAAGTTTGGATCATCCGCTAAGATGACCAAAAGGAAAAACAAAGACCTCAAAAAGACCATCCCTGAGGATGTGCGTAAAATTTATGAGACCTTCAGAAACTGTTCTTTGGATGAAGAAAAAAAGGAAGAGGAGACAGAGAAGATGTGTAATTCCGAGATCTCTTCTAGCACTGCAGTCCTGACCAACTGTATCCAGCAGCACTCAGACCTGGAAAATGGAGTGATTCCCAATGAAACCAAAGAAAGGGAACATGAAAACAAAGCGTTACTTGAAGACAAAAATTAAATATAAAAGATGCTTGACTTGAATTAACAATATTAGTGATTTTATATGTATATATATATTGAGACACGTGCCTTATACAGACTCCTTATTCAATTTGAATTATATAGCATCGAGGAATATTTCACTGTGCCATAAAGACTCAAGCTTCCTCTGCCAAAACAAACCAGGAACACAGCACTGCAGAATGGCAACAGAAAGCTACGCACATGGAAATTTCAGCCTGTATAAGATTACCAGGGCAAGACACAAGGGAAGAAATTGAACCACGGCAATATCATCAGAGTGCTCCTGCCATGGCGTGTTAGACAAAGGGCAGCTATGTAAGAAGAGCCTGTGAAAGGGATGAAAAAGGGTATATCTTTGTAGGGGATTATGCATCCATAAAGCCTTCCCCTGGTGATAAAAAAGAGGAGAAATGATTGGAGTGAACTAAAAACTCTCAGTAAGGCTTAGTTTACGTTTTGGCACGTGATCCAAGCTAGTTATTTTTTTCCTTTTTTTTTGAGTCAGATGCATTACCTTTCTAAACTCCAAAAGAATGTCTATGGACACAACCACCAGCTGGGTGCTGGTTTGAAAAATCAACACAGATGTGTGTAAGGGTTGGATTACTCTTTTCATTAAAAAAAAAAAGAAAAGAAAAAACTCCATGGGTATTTATCTTAAGCAGTGACAAAAAAAAAAAAAGAAAAATGGATTTTTTTCTCACAAGAAAGTGCATATGAAGAAAATGCAACATCTCGTGCTATGTTGTTTAAAAGAAGAAAAACATCAATTTAATATTTGGCTAAGTGTATAAAACAGCGGGCCAAGTGGTTTTTTTAAAGAATTTCTCAGTCACACTTTCTACCACTGAAAAAAACCCTTCAATTTTAATGCTGTAAGACTATGAAGACAGAAGGGAAGCTACAGCTTTTGCGTGTTGGCAAACTGCTGTTCTCTGTAGCTGAATCTGAATTTTAGGCATAAGAGCATATACACAATTCAAATGAGGGCCAGGGCTACCATAGAATCTCAGGGTTCTCTGCCCCTTTTGCTGGGTTTGGGTTTAGACATAAGCTGCTGTCATAATCTCAGAAAAAAAAAAAGAAAAGAAAAAGGAAATTTAGGAAAAGAAGTTATGAAATATATGGTGGTAAACTTTTAAGTGCTTATAGCTTTAAGTGCCATTAATGCTATCATATTTTGTAACTTTTTAAACAAGTACTTTGAATTATTTGTTTTATTTCCTTTCAAGTACTCTCTTTGTTTGACAATTGCTATCTCTTTTCCTGATAAAAACTAAACATGAGCTCTCTGCATTTCTAGACTAAAGTGAAATATATCCAAATTGTGGGCACTTTTAAAAATCTTTTGTGCTGTCTGGACATATGGATATAAGAAATAGAATTGTCTCTAGACTTCACAGTAAATATTCAAAGAAAAGGCTGCAAAATAATTAATGGGAATTGCAAAACATACTAAATTTTTTATAGCCTCAGCCTGTGGGCTACTGTGTGTGTCATTTCACATAGAAGATTTTGCATGCTGGAAATGAGATACCCATGATTGTGCCAGCAATGCTTTCTCTGTGCTTTCACAAAATCCTAAATATTCCTGCAATTCAAACTGTAGCCTTACAGGTAAGGTGAGCATGGATATTGATCTCAGAGACATACTGACTCTTGCAAGCTAGTTAAACATACGGACACTTGCAGACCATACAGACATGGATTTTTGGAATTGCACGCCCCCCAAAATGCATGTGTCATTCTGTGATAGTTTCTGAGATTTTATGCACAGTGAACCAACTCAAAATCAAACTGGTCACCAGAATACATGATTGCCATGGCTATGAATGGAAGCATGGCTATTAAAATGCAAATTTTGATTATGCCTATTTGCATATCTAATGACTCTGCAGGATTTGCAAGAGTAAGCTGAATTCCACTAGTGCAGAGGAGGAAAGTTCGTAGTATGTTCTGTCTACTGGTTCACTTCTCTTGAAATGTCAAATTGTCTTTCTAATTTCATTATCTGTCTGAAAATTAAGGATGAAAAAGCAATGTTTGAAAAATTTCAGGTCATTTGGGATTGCTCTAACTCAGTAAGATCCAACGGAAATTGAATTCTGCTTAGTTCCCCAATGAATCTCTTAAGGTGCAGGGCTGTGCCCTGGCTTTATCTTACCAGGGGCAGGGCAGTAAGCCCAGTCCCCCGGGGAGGTTTCATCGGACTCAAGAGCTGCTATGGCTTCTGGAGAATTTTATGCCAGGCAGCCCTGTGCTCAGCTTCATAAACATGCAAATGGCAACTTGTGGCCATCCTCAGATCCCATCCTCCTCAAGCCACAGGCAGACACCATCAAGATGCAGGTTTGTTCAAGCGTTACAGTTCTTCAGCCTTCCTAATTGCTCCTGGTTTTGGGCAGGCCTTGAGTGTCACATATGAACAAATGTTCTGAAGTCTCATGCAGAAGCACAGAGTATCATTTGCTAATTCTGTAGTGCCAGGATGAATAAAGCATACCTGGATGCACTAAGGTTTTATGTTCAGATCTGGGGTTTTATTGTGGCGATGGGAGGTTAGGATTGAAATCTACAGTTTAGATTTGGCTTTTAATTCCAGAAAAGATTCAGAAGTGCTCAGACATGTGATTTGGGTTCTGAGAATTAAAGTACCGCCTGGTTACACCATCCTGTGCTTTGCATCTATGAAGGATCAGGCACCCAAAAGCATCCCATCTGACTCTGAAAGCATGCAACAGTGCTAACAGTTCTCCTTGGTTACCAAACGCCAAGACCAACATCATGCACACGGTGCTACCTGTTCCTTCACCCAAGTTGTTCTCACGAGAAATGCTTGCCTGCAATGGAAAAGTTCTGCATAGTCACACAGACAGATGTAATGATATGGAGATGCATTTTCTATATGTGAAATATAGGATTTAGTCATAGCCAGGGCATTCCTGCTGGTTAGGATCAGGGAAAGTAAACCCTGTCTTGTAGGACTTGTCTCTGTGAGCAGGGAGTTGGACAGTGGACAAATCATGGAAAACAAGTCAATGTGGACAAGTGATTGAGGAGGCAAAGTTTGGTGGGCAAATTCAGAACTGTTTGCTCTGGTGGGATAGAAGGTCAATGAAATCTTGTTATAGTTTTAATCTAAACTTTCTGAGTTCTCAGTCCTCGGTCTGTTCCCTGTCCAGATTCTAGCTGATGGTGTATGTGTGTCTCATTCTACTGTCTGCTTGCCATGCCATGCAGGAGCCCCTGGCTGACATTTTATCAGCTGTTTCTTCAGCACCTCCTGGTTTGGGATATAATAGTTCAGGGACAAAGGGTGATACTGAATAAACTCTGAGTGAGATACTGAGCAGAGCATTTGATTACCTTTGCAAATGCTCTCTTTCATTCCTCTCCATTTCTGTGTCTGTGAAACTTGCTTAGAAAGCTGCCAGGCTGCTACTGGAGTAAATACTTTCTTCTATAATATGATTACCTATTAAATACCTCAATATGCATAATTTTTACTATAATATGGGAAGTGCAAATGGTGTATTGCATGGGGGGCCAGACAGAAATGTCTGACACCTAAAATGACATTTTAATGAGCTAAATTGCTTTTCCCCTGGTAAAGGACATCCCTTTGTTTTAATTATATGCAACAGTTTGGGAGAGAATCTCAGCTCAGACATCAAGAATTTTATGGCTAAAATTCTCATCTTCTGGCATTTAGTAATACCTATAAAAAACTTATTATGTTATTTCTAGTGAGGCTGTTCCACCATTATAGAAAGTTTTAGCAAAAATAGTCTGAACCATATCCAAAACTCCTTGCTCTAAATTAGGGCTTTTCACAGCAACCTGAAAATAAGAAGAGTCAAACAAAAGTGTGGGTACCAACTTTAGCACTCAGATCATGCCCCGAGCACAACATGACTTGACATGGGAACTGGGACCTGAAAGAACAAAGGAAATGTGTTTTTCTGTACCCACAGCCCTCAAACACAGGACAGCTCAGCTTCTGTTTTCCTGCAGCTTTCAGCTCTGCAGTCCCACTGTCCACTGCCTTGTACAGGAGAATTCTGCTAAGTCACTTTGGTGATCCTCCTGAACCATTAACCATCACTGAACTTGTGCAGATTTTGCATGAGTGGTTTTGAAAAGATATGTAACTTCGTCCATGTGGCAGTCTGTGAATTACATTACCCTTTAATAGGGAACATTATTTCTAATAAATCTTATTAGAAGTAATAGTAAATAAAATTTAAAAAACACCAGTGATTTATATTCATAAAATCTGATTTTGTTTGTTGCTTTGAAATTATAAATCATCTGAGCTTCTGCTTTTTGGCTTTATGATGTCTCTAGTACAAGTCTGTTTCTTCCAAAGCCATTAATGGACTATGCCAGAGACTTTCTACAAGATTCTCTAACCCATAATATATGAAAGTGTATGTCTGTGAGTTCAGGCTGTTAAAAACCCTGTCCTTAAAAAACCTGCATTTTCCTGAAGGATTTGTGTTTATAATGTACATGGGCTGTTTGTTTGCCAGCTTTCATTTTCTCAGGGGTTTATTTGTGTTGTCAGATTGCATGATGTCTGCTACTCTCACTTTTTCCATCGTCCACTAGAAGTAAATTACAGGCAAAGACCAACTGTTACGTTGTGTACTAACGTAGAACAAGAAGTCTTCTACTAAACAGATATGAATTAAAGCTAACTGGGAACTACTTCAGTCTTCCCTGTACATTTGCTTGTTCTGAACTATGTTTTGTCTATCTAAGGCCAAAATCTGCTCCCATCAAGTCTGTGCAGTAAAGTGGAGGTGGCTTGCTATTTTTAAGCTTTTTATAGCAAAGACCTGCTGTTTTAACTCATCTCTACAGTGCCATTTATACTTACTGGAATGGCATTATATCAATACTAAATACAAATTAGCTCAGCTTCAGAAACAGTTCTCTAGGCATTTAAATATCAATGAAAACACAGGGTAAATCAACACAAATCTGTGGAACTCAAGTAAAGGCTTGCAGATTAATGTATGAAACTGGTTGCCTGAAACATATCAGCAAAAAAGTGTAGATCTGAAAATTTCTTTAAGTTGCCCAAGTTTTCCCAAGGTCCCCATTTCCTTTACTACCAGTAGCAGTTACTCTCCTTAATACCATTGCTGCAGTTGTGAGAGCTAATTTGGAGTGTCCTGATGTAACCAGCACATGATCTGTGAGCTGGATCATGGTGGGTTGGGAAGGTCACTCAAAAGGCAGGGCTTATCCACAACGCTGCTGAGTTCAGGAACCAGCTGCAGAAAGGTCCCATGCAAACGTGCACATGCCCAACGTTCACATGGCAGAAGTAACTGGTTCCTGCACACAGATTTACTGATGATGCCTCCCTGCTCCGTTCAGGTAGATGTGAACTTGTCGTGCTCCCTCATCTCTGGTTACAGGTCACATAGGAGCTAAGTCTTATCACCAGAAAATACCAGTGCTGCTGCTTTTGGGGGACATTTCTATAGCATGTGGCCTTTTGAGGCAAATAGGATCTGCTTTCTGTGGCTGATCTTGAGAGCAAACCACAGGCAGGTGATGTGAGAGAGAATACTTTTGTCTCCTAAATATATTCTATCTTCACAGTCTTTTTTTCCTGTGAGAGCTGG